TCCCCCCAACCTTTTATGGGCCCCTGAAGGCCTTTCAAGCGGTGCATGCTTTGCATGAACAAGATACCACTTACTGACGGTCACGATCATTAACTTTTTTACTTTGGGGAACAGCACCAAACACACTCCTGCCCTGAGTGTAAAAAGCTTACAAGACCCGCTCTAAAATCACGCCTACAAAGACTTCGCTCATACCTTTGGGATCCAGCCCCCATGGACACACCAACATCTCCAACTCTGCTTCCAGAGCGTCAAGTAACCGCTTACCTGATACTGAGCTCGACGACTCCATCACCTCATCAAAAAGGCCTTTCGAAGTCCACTTCGAAATCGAGCTCGATATCCACATTGAAAGCACCACTTCGTCCTGATGGCTCATCTAGGAAAAAGAAGGATAAGACCAAACCTAAGAAAACTAAGAAACCACGAAATGGACTCAGATAGATCCACCTCAACCGGGGCCTCCATCACTGATCCTTGAGAAGTCATCTAGAGATTTCAGATAGAGACAAGCCAACTTTAACACCAACTCAGGCTGCAGCTTCCATCACCAGCCTTTTTCAGATAGAGACGAGCCAACTTTAACACCAGCTCAGGCTGCAGCTTCCATCACCAGCCTTTCATTGAATACTGGCCTATCTCCAGCTGATGTTCATTTCAGCCTGGCCTTGGCCCATTCAAGCCCTAGATCATCAGGGCGAGCAATACCTATTCAGGTCTCTGGTTCGGAGTTCTCTCACCAGTCTCCCTGCAAGCGCTGTGCGAAGAGACGACACCTTTCTCCAGCTCAATATGCCCCTCCACGCAGGGAAATTTACTATGTCTTCCAGAACTCTTTCAGGGTCAGGGACATCTCCTTGATGATATTGAAGCACCTGGTGAAGAGTGCCTTTGTGTACAGCTTCTTGAAGTTGCTGATCACTTGCTGGTCCATGGGCTGCAGAAGAGATGTTGTATGGGGGGGACTTGACCCTGATGAAATCCTCATCAATGTCCTCCACCAAGGATGGGTGTGTGTGCCGGGGCGTCGTCCATCAGCAGAAGGCACCTCTCAGAAAGCTGGTTGTCTGAAAGATATCTTCTGACAGTGGGTGCAAACTCGTCATAGAGCCGTTCCAGAAACAGCTGTCTTGTCATCCAATCTCTTGCGTTGGCCCTCCATATGACAGGGAGTTTGGCCTTGTTGACTTTCTCTCGCTGGAATGGGCGAGAATTCTGGGAGTGGTAGATGAGCAGAGGCTTGATCTTCAGATCGCCGGTGGCATTGGCACAGAACAAAAGGGTCAATCTGTCCTTCATGGGTTTGTGGCCCAGCAGTTTCTCTTCCTCCTGGGTGATGTAGGTTCTCCTGGGCAATCTTCATCCAGAACAGCCCTGTCTCATCACAATAGAAGACTTGCTGGGGGAGGTAGTCTTCTTCCTTGATGAATTCAGCAAACTCCACCTTGAAGGCTTCTGCAGCATCATGGTCAAAACTTGCAGCCTCCCCATGTTTTATAACGCAGTGGATGCCACTTCTCTTCTGGAACTTTTGGAACCACCCCTTGCTAGCTTTGAATTCTTCTTGCGCTGCACTTCCGGAGGGGTTTCTTTCCATTCACTGTGCAGCTTCCTCGCTTTTTCACTGATGGTGTTCACTTTCAGTTGTTTCTTGTTGATCCAGACCGGTAAAAGTTTTTCCACTTCTTCCATTAGGGGTGGCCAGTTCTTTGTTATGATTGTGACTCATTTTGCCACATCAGTGTGCTTCAAGACATCTTTCCTCTTCAGTATGGTACCAATGGTTGACTTTGCCATCTGGTATTCCAGCGGCCAGTTCAGTCAAACACATGTCCTGTTTATTCTTTTTGATTATTTCCTTTTTGGTTTCAATGGAGATATCTTTTTGGAGGGTCTTGCTTTGTTCTTTCTTTGGAGCCATGACTATGGTTCAGCTCACCACAGTGCACAAACCATGCATCAACAAATCGATAAAGTCCCTGATTTTAAGAAAAAAAGACTGTGGAGTCTTAAACTTAAACTTCAGACTTGAGTTTGAACTGCATTTTAAAGCCTGCCATTTTAAAGCCTGGCTGCCTGCATCTACAACCACCACAGGCCCTCACAGAAAATTTTCTGATTTAAAGAAAAAAAATACTTTGGAGTCTTAAACTGCATTTTATTGGTGGACTCTTACAGGTACGGTACTGTACAGCCTGCCTGCTTCAAAAATTAGCAAGCATTAAAACCTCATGCCATCAACCACAGGCCCTCACAGAAATTTTTTTGTACATTTGAAACCCACACATTTTAAAACAAAAGAGAGGTCTCATGCACAAACCCTAGAAGCCACAGAATGCAAAAATAAATAAATACAGTAAATTTTACATTTAAAAATTACATCAGAATTTGCCAGTCACCTCACATGGTGGACATTTCTTCCTCACTTGCTTATAGGCAGACCCTTTCAGCCTCTACAACTTTCAATACAGGTCACCACCGACGCCAGCTCCATGGGGAGGTCACAGTCGATACCACATGATACATGGTTTATGGATGAAAGAAGAACAATTATTACACTCAACTGTCTCGAACTCTTAGCAATTATCAAGGCCTTCATCTCAAAGTCTTAGCAATTATCAAGATCTTTCACGCTTTCTTACCTCTCATTGTAGGGCGAGCAGTACAGCTAGCCACAGACAATACCACAGTGCTGTACTATATAAACAAGCAAGGAGGTACCCACTCCCTGTCGCTCCTGTATCTGGCGGTCGAACCCTGGGAATGGTGCTACTTACATCACATTTTTCCGGTAGCAGTCCACATGTCTTAGCAATTATCAAGATCTTTCACGCTTTCTTACCTCTCATTGTAGGGCGAGCAGTACAGCTAGCCACAGACAATACCACAGTGCTGTACTATATAAACAAGCAAGGAGGTACCCACTCCCTGTCGCTCCTGTATCTGGCGGTCGAACCCTGGGAATGGTGCTACTTACATCACATTTTTCCGGTAGCAGTCCACATCACCACAGAGGTGACAACCTTCTTGCAGACCATCTCAATCGCCTTACCTCAAGGATACACGAATGGGCTTGAACAACAGAGTTTTCGACCTTTTTTGTCATCAATGGGATGTCCCATTAATCGATCTCTTTACTTCTGAGACCAGCACCACTGTCAACGGTATTGCTCCCGAGCCGGTATCGACAGAACAGAGTTTTCGACCTTTTTTTGTCATCGATGGGATGTCCCATTAATCGATCTTTTTGCTTCTGAGACCAACACCAAGTGTCAACGGTATTGCTCCCGAGCCGGTATCGACAGGAACTCACTCAGAGAATCCTTTATGATAGACTGGGTCGGAGACCTACTCTATTTACTTCCTCTGGTTCCACTCATTCAACAAACCATCATTCGACTTTGACAGTTCCACTCAAATGCCATCCTCCTTGCTCCATGGTGGCCATGTCAACCGTGGTTCACCCACTTGAGGTTGACATCATCTTACATGCTCCAGCTCCCGTTGATCCCTGACCTTCTGATCCAGGACAACAGGATGATTTACCACCCCGACATAGACTCTCTGAACCTGACAGCATAGAGAATATTCTCAATATAAAGAATATTCTAGATCGAGCCTGAGAGCTATCAACCCAACGATTATACCAAAGCAAATGGAAAGCATTCCTTTTCACCAACTATCTACAACACCGGTTTCTCTGAAGACTTTACTTACCTTTATCCTTCATCTCTTTAATTTTGGACCATCTCACTACCCTCAAGGTGTATATTTCTGCTATTATAGCCTGTAAGTCTTCTCAGTCTGATTTGGCTAGGTTTTTCTCTCGCCCAACATTGAAGAAATTCTTGAAGGGACTCCATAATATTCGTCCCTCACGTCAACATCCGTTCCCTCAATGGTCTTTGTAGCTTGTGCTCTATGCACTTACCCAACCACCTTTCAAACCAATGGCTACTACTAATTTCAAATTACTTTCTCTAAAAACATATTCCTTGTAGCAATAACATCTGCTAAATGTGCTAGTGAGCTCGCAGGCCTCAGATCGGACTCCCTTCAGTTCCACCCTGGTAAGGTGACCCTCTATTGTGTTATTTTTACCCAAAATTGTCTCTGAATTCCATCTCAATCAACCGTTGATTCTAACAACTCTATTTCTGTCTCCTTCTACACTTCTCAAATGCATGCTCCACATGCTTCACATAAGACGCTCTTTGGCCTTCTATATTGATAGAACCAAATTATTCAGGAAGTGTCCAAGGCTCTTCTTATGCTTTCATGGCCCTCATAATTGTGCCCCTGCTTCACCTCAAACTATATCTCGCTGGATTGTCCAGACTGTCTCATTGGCCTATTAGCTCACGGGCAAAACACCTCCTGGACATTTAAAGGCCCATTCCACCAGAGCACTGTCAACTTCTACTGCCTTCCAGCATGGAATAAAACTTCCTCACATCTGCTGTGCAGCTACATGGTCTAACCCATCAACCTTTGTGAAACACTACCGTCTCGATATTTGGGCGAAGAATAATGTTGCTTTTGGCAGAATGGTCTTGACATCCTTTCTACTGTGACGTCCCACCATCTGGTAAATGAGCTTGTCAGTCACCCAATTGTGTGCATTCACAGAGGCCATGAAGAAGAAAGAAAAGTTACCTACCTGTAACCATGGTTCTTCTAGTGGTCCTCTGTGAATCCACACATCTCGTCCATCCTCCCCTCTGTCCATCACGTTGTCCTTGATATAGGCCTTTGGACAGCGGCAAACTCTTACAGGAACTGAGGGGACGTTTGGAAGGCAGAGCATGCACTCCATGGGGGAACATCCTACTAATCACATGTCTTTAAGCTCTAGAAACTTCTGAGATGTCCTGCACAGGTGCAGAACAACTCAATTGTGAGGATTCACAGAGGACCACTAAAAGAACCATGATTACAGGTAAGTAACCTCTCTTTTTATTGCTACAGTCAGCATAATCTTTCTTTTTGTTTCTTTACAGCTGAATTGAATGTAATTGCTCCAATTATCTCCAACTTTTTCTTGGCTTCCTATGCCTTAATTAACTTCTCTGTATTCCATGCCTCACTTGCAAAATCACCAGGTATGAATTTTATATTGATTATCTTTTAAATTTGAATCAGTGAGGGTGAAAATGTGACTTTTAAAAGAGGATCCCTTTAATTTAAAACATCCAGCTAACAAGATTGTAAAGAACAACTTGAAAGTTTAAAAGAAGATATACATGTTGACTCCTGGGTTGAGTTTTCATGTCACAATATACTGAGATCCCAAGAGAACCTTCGCTTCATGCCTGATCATTCCCATTGCAAGCAGGAGTAGTCATTAAACCACACATCTTCTGTCTGTGCTTTACTTATTGCGTCATCTGACCACAGCACTCTTACTTGTCTTTCCCTCAACAAGCCAAAAAAATAAATAACAAATTGTGTGGTATTTCTAGGGTTTGTCAAAGGAGAGAAGAGCAAAAGGGCTTGTTTGTATGTCACATTAAGCAAATCATAGATGGAATATCCATGCTTTGTTTAACTGCTCCCGCTTGAAGCAGGAGCGATCAAGTTTCCTCATTCACTGTAACTCCAGGTCCTCAACATGCTCACTTACTGTGATGTTTGAGTTTACATATATCTCCTCACTTTCAATGGTGCAGCTAGCTTGGTCTGTTATGTTTTTGCTGGTTTTTATGTATATGTAATATTTATATCCAAACTGTTGGCAACTTATCTGTATAGACCCTGTTGACATGCAATATGGGACTGTGTAAATACTGAAGGGGGAAGACACAATTCACAGTCTTAAATTTTATTTACTTTCTGAATAGGCTGGCGACCTGCTTTTAAGTACTACAACATGTGGGTGTCGTTAGTTGGAGCAATTCTTTGCTGTATAGTGATGTTTGTCATCAACTGGTGGGCAGCACTTCTCACATACGTCATCGTTCTAGGACTCTACATTTATGTAACTTACAAGAAGCCAGGTAGGTGCATGTTTGGGAGGAACTAGGTTAATTCTGAGATGAGGTAATTCTTTGGATATTGCTAGGTATTTTCAAATAGGGAGCGTGTACAGGTCAACTTTAGAATCTGTATATTACATTAACTTATTTTTTTTAGAAAAATCACTGAGGAGCAATATACAGAGTTGATTGCTTAACTTTTCTTCTGAAATTCTGTACGACATGATGCACATTCCATGCCTTCATTGGAAGAAATGCTGGGACAGTTTGTCATGGATGTGTTTTGCTGCCTTATTCTGTAGCCCAGTTCAGCATGTGCTGAGAGAGCAAAAACATTTCAGATCCTGCCAGCATCCAAGCTCATGTGAATGATTGGACAGGATAGGGAGAAGATCCTTTGTCTTGCTTGGCAACATTTTTTACTTTTGCCAAAAAGGTCTCTCCAACCATTAATTGGAATTAAAACCATTAATCCATGGGAACATGAGGTTGGTACATGTCTCTTGTCAATGTCTGACAAGAAAAAGTAGGTAGCAGGAATCTCTTTGGCCAAGTTTGTAACCAGAAGAAAGCAGTGGGATTGATTTCCTTGCTGTGCTGAAACTGGCCATATATTCTGTGGTCTCTGTCATCACAATCTGCAGTGCTGGTTTAGGTTGTACTGTTGAGAAGGCATGAGGTTCATGGGGTTATTTTCTGTCAGATTAAGTCCCACCTTTGGTGTAGAACTGGCAGTATAAGAACTCTCGCCTGGGAGCAGCAAGACATTTAATGTTCAGTTTTGTTTTTGTTGCCTGCCAGTAAGAGAAGCAAGAGGGGGAGGAACAAGAGAAGAGAGCAAGTGAGATCATAAATGTATGTCTTTTTCATGGCTATAAGGGTGTAGGCAAAATTCCTCTGTTCTGTGGGTTTACGGTGCCCGTCACATCGTTTGTCCCTGTTTAGCTTTTTCTTTCTTTTCTTTTCCTTTTGGAGAGAGGGGGATTGATGGGGAACATGTATGTGAACAAAGGAATCTTTTGCCTAGTTTCTTGCAGAGAGAAAGCAACATTAAAGAAATTATTGAGTGCTTCACAAGAGGAAACAGAAGTTGTTACTCAAATCTGTACTTTTTTTTTAAAAGGCGAGGGAAGAAAAAGAGCATGTTTCAAAGCACTGCATGAAATAAGGAAGTCTTGAGTTCCTGGCTCGAATTTCTTAACACAACTTATATATACATTCAACTCAATAATTTAGATTTATTTAGTTCAGTATAAACTCTTACTGGACTCTGTCTACAAAATGTGTCCTGGCCCACATTTTGGTGTAGATACAGTTTTAGAAGCAGTTGGGAAAGTCATGCCATGTGTTGGAAATTTCCCTTGATCTAATAATGCTGGACATCTCGAATAAGCTGGCAACAGACCATTGTATAAAGTGAAGAGCTTAAAGAAATACGAAAAAAATTCTTCAGCTGACAGATATTCATAGGAATGAGGGATCTTAAGGTAGGGGCTTTATGAAAGTTTTTACATGATGAGCCGTACTAGTTCAGTGATAGCCTATTTCAGTCAAGTTATTAATGAGGTCTCTTTTTCTGTAGGCGGAGAAACAAATCATTACAAAGCTATGAAATTTTACTTACTATCCAGGCTGTTGTGTTGTATTCTCCTCTACTGCCATCCATTTATCTATGGAGAAAAACAGGGTTTTTACAAGTCCTGAGAAGAATTCATCTCTCATTTATATTTTGGAGTCGTAACTGGATTTCTTTGTAATAACTACCAAAGGTTGCAAATACTTCCTTAGATATTTATTATATTTTATCCTAAAAATATGTTGTCAATAAATAACTTTTTAGGGAGCTTTAGGTACCTTCCTCCAAATATTAGGAAGGAAAGTTTATTCTTAATTGCTGGACTGCTGAGATGATTAGTGTTAATCTAGGTATCTTAGATATTGTTTCTCATTAAACTGCCTGTGATGTAGTTTAAGCTTAATAGCAGAAGTGTTATTATTGTCACTAAAAATCATAAAATCTTGGTACATTTGAAAATAAGACAGATATGTTTATCTAAGTGGGTCTCTTCTGTTTTAAACCAAAAATACTTTTTTTCAGATGTTAACTGGGGATCTTCCACACAAGCATTGACCTACTTAAATGCATTGCAACATGCTGTCCGCCTTACTGGCGTAGAAGACCATGTGAAAAATTTCAGGTAATTTGAAATAGTATTTGAAATAAAACTTGAGATGCAGAAATAGCAGCCTTAAAGCCAGTGGAAGTCAGTTATGCTAAACAGGAAGGGATAGTATTTAGCTCTAAAGGGGTGTGTTGAGGATGACTTAGTTGGTTTTACAAAACTTGACCCTTGCAAAGATACAAACATCTCTCTGGCATCTGCCTCAACTGTTTGTGTCTCTTTTATTCCCATTTGCTTGTTTCATGCAAAATAGATTGATCAAATCTTTATTCAGACATTCATAAAAAGGGCTAATCTGAATATCTGAGGAAGAGTGCTAGCTGCACCCTTCCTTTGTGGTTCTCCTGTGTCAAAAGCCACAATCGGAAGAGGAGAATCTCCAGATCATTGCTTTCTACATGATGGGGAATTCTGATCTTTCAGGGTGGCCAGTCATGTGGACAGCTTCTACATGTAGCATAATATCTCTGTGTCAGGCTGTTGGTCTCCACACAGGAAGAACAACAGTAGAGGGCAGTTCAGGTTAATCCTTCTGTGAATGCTAGAATAGGGTTTGTGAAATGATACAGTTTGAAATGAACATGGAGCCATGTGTCTCATATTGTGCCTTCTCGCTATCTGGTCTGGGACCCAAGTGTTCCAGTGGGAAAACAATTTATACACAATAACCTGAGTTGAATTAATCAACAAGGGAATGAGGAATGATAGGCAGCTATGGATTAAAGAAAATAACCCTTCTAGACAAGCCTGCAAACAAGTAGGGGGTCCTTAATTGGAGGCTAATACTGGGGCTGGTCAGAGGGATCAGATAAGCCCCCTGTTACAGCATCTCCATTGGCTGCTGATCTCTTTCCAGGCACAATTCAGAGTGCTGGTTCTAACCTATAAAGCCCTAAATGGCTTGGGCCAAGCTATCTCAAGGACCACCTCTGTCTCTATGAGCCTGCCTGAGTATTAAGATAATCAGGAGAAGCCTTTCTTTCAATCCTGCCACCTTCACAGATGTGCTTGATGGAGATAAGGCAGAGGGCCTTCTCTGTTGCTGCTCCCAGACTTTGGAACTCCCTCCCACAGGAGGCTTGGCTGGCCCCATCTTTGCTGTCCTTCCACAAGCAGATGGAGACCTCTCTCTTCAGACAGGCTTTCCCTCCGTGACTGGCTGCCTGAGTGGGTTTTTTTTTATTAAAATGGATTGTTGCATTTTACTGTTTTGAATGTGTTTGGTGTTGCTTTTATTTACCATTTTTAGTGTGACATGTTTGATCTTTTTAGTATTGTGCACTCACTGTTGTTCACTTTACATACTGTCTTTTAATGTTGTAAACTATCTTGGGTTCTTTTTAAAGGAGAAAGGTGGGATAAAATGTTTTAAAGAAAGAAAGAAAGAACATAACAAAACACAAACCCCCACACCTTACCACACACACACCACAACAGAACATGAGAATTAGGGACCCTGAACTACATAGCCTTTTCATGGCATTGGGCGTGCATTGGCATTTATGCATTTTTCTGCCACTGGAGTAACATTTGGAATATATGCCGTAGGCACCTGTCTTCTGCTGTAGCGGTTTCCCTAGCCTTTGCCAATGAATAATGTTGATAGTAGATAGCCCCTTTTTGCTCATTTTATCCACTTGGCAGCACGAGTATTATTATTACTCTTCTGAAACTCAAAACGGTCAGTGATAAAATTCAAATACAAGTGTAACAAAAAGGTATTGTCACAAGCCATAAAAACAAGCCCAAATTAATTAATCCATCTTGCAAAATTAATGTATTCATGTGAAAAGGAGAAGCCTTACTGAGAAATGTCTTTCTTGGGGGCAAGTGTCAAGGTAACGGCAGGACATGATCCTGAAAGCCTTGTTCAGAAATGCCTTGTATTTAATCTTACTTTATTTACAGTGTTTCAGTAGTGCTCTGTAGCCAGAGCTTTTTGATTAGGCTCATGTTACAGCCGATAGCATGATAACTTGATCCAGCAAGGACAATATTGAATTCCTCTTGTTGATAAATGACTAGTGGAGGTGCCAGTTATATGAAATAGAGTTAATTCCAGAATAATTTGTGCAAAGTTTCTGTTTAATTGGAGCATGCTATTTTTTTAGGCAGTAGTTCAGAATGGCTATGTCTGTGTCATTAAAGTACATATTAACTTTTATTTTAAATTTAAAACTAGGCCACAATGTCTTGTAATGAGTGGTGCTCCAAACTCACGTCCAGCTTTGCTTCATCTGGTCCATGCCTTCACCAAAAATGTAGGACTAATGATCTGTGGTCATATACATATGGTAAGTCTGAATTTCTTATTCCTGTTCTAAGATTACTCGGCTTCTTAGCGCTAACAGTAGCCAGGACACATTTTACTGGAAATGATGCAAAAACAACATTTTTGTAATGTGGCGCCTGAATTACTGTGGAGCTATGGATTCTTCTTTTATCTGCGTCTGCGCAGAGGTTTCCAGAATCTTCTAGAGCTTAACACTGTTCGCTAGGACTGCCCCTCTAGTACATGTTCGCCCATCCTGGCAAGTGTCTCCGTTCTTTTTTGCCACCGCTGAGGTTTCTTCTCTTCAATGAGCTCCATTCACTATTGCGTTGTAAAGGATTTTGTGAGAGACTTTGTGCTTTTTCTCCTGTCCACCGGCCCCCTTCGTCCCTTTCCCCCCTGTTTTCACCCTTCTTACCCATTTTTGATAGTTTATGGCCTCTTCTGGGCCTTTCAAAAGGTGCACTTCGTGCCCCAGTAAAATTCCTCTGACCGACGGCCACAACTCTTGTCTCTTCTGCCTCGGCGAAGCCCACCAGCCAGCTTCTTGCCCTATTTGCAAGAAGTTTACTAAGCAGGCTCTTAAATTAAGACAGCAGCGTCTCTGTTCTTACTTGTTGGAACGTTCTCTTCACCCTTCACCAAATATGGAATCCGTATAGCCACCACCACTTCTGTTACCATCTCTGGACGTTTCTGTGGCCTCCTCAATAAAGTCCAAATCCAAGGTGAAACTGCCTGCCAAAACTAAGTCTGGTGGTTCGACACCCAAATCTACACCAGTACCGAAATCTCCCTCGGTACCAGAACAGCAGCCAAAACCCAAAAAGTCATCTTCTGCTGCACAGTCTATTAAACATCAGAAAGACAGACCAGTAATAGCACCAGCTCCATAACTTCCCTTACTACTGGAAGGGTTTGGAGACTTCTCACTCCTGCAGATGCCTCCACAGCATCACCCAGAGAATGTAAATAGAGGTTCATTCTAGTGTGAAAGTCCATTTTGAGGTGTTCTGAAGAAGTTACCCACCCCACCATAAAATTGGCTGACAGGAAGGAACAGAGGCTTCCTATCCACCTAGCAACTTCTGCTGTTAAATTTCATAGTTTCTGCTATGGGCAGTAGTGACGGTGAAGCTCAAGGACAGCCAATCTTCATAAAGAGGCAAAAAAGACCCACTTCTCCTTCACACCACCCTAGAACAGGACTTGCACAGAAAGTTAGAAAGTTCCCAGTTAATAGCAGAGAATTAAAATACCAAACCTTTGTAATGCTTCCTACTGAAAAAGTATGGGTGTATAAGATTATTTCAATCTAAGTTGTACTATACTTTGGTTAGAAGCAAAAATATGCTCTTCTTTTTGACAGCAACTCTTGATAGCACACTGTAATGTTTTGTCATCCGAACTGGTGCAATAGTTGACTCTGGTTGAAAAGTAGTATTCTTTGCTTTTGAATTGTGCAGATGTTTTGAAATAAGAGTTTAGTTATTCTTAATGGGGAACCTTATTTCTAATAAGTGTATGTCTCTTCATGCGAAATTGTATTTCTTCATGGTCTCTGTGATCAACAAATGTGGGCTATTCTTCACCCATGCAGAGCAGTTTGGAAGCTTCTAGAACTGAGGAGCTTCGTTTGGCAGAACCCCCATGCCAGTATGTATCTGTCAGCAGACTAATGCTTCTTTTGCCTTTTCTGGGGTTTTAGGGCCCTCGCAGACAGGCCTTGAAGGAATTGTCTGCTGACTTGAGCAGGTACCAGCGGTGGCTTATTAAAAACAAAATGAAAGCATTTTATGCTCCAGTCCATGCAGAAGATTTGAGGGATGGTGCACAGTATTTAATGCAGGTATGTGGTCTTGGTAAAAAGAGAAAAGTCTTTGTGCTGTGTAATGATCTGTTCTATGAAATGAATTTACAAGTAGAGCTGTTATGTCAAAATTTCTTTTATCTCTTCTGTGTGTTTCTATGTTTGTTTTTTAGAATTGTTGCATATTGTACTAAAGATTAGTGTGTTAACCAGGTATGTACAGCTCCCATAATACCTGGCTCTGCTGAAAAGGAATGGCAGCATCTAAGTCCAACATATCAGGAGGGGTACCAGAGGGAGGGGAGAGGCTGTTGTGTCATTCTTACCCAGTGACTGGAGATGCAAGCATGAATGGATTTAGTCCTGAGATTCTGTGTTGGGAAGCAAAGCATAAGCTCTTCAAGTATCAGGAAGGAAAACACTCAAATTTTCATCCAATCCAGGTTGACTTTTGCAGCCCACAGTTATTTTTCTTCTCTTTCATTGAAGATGATTCTAAAAGTTTTGGACCCTCAGTTTATGGAGTGTTGCTATCCTATTATCTTTCCACCACCTTATTGCAGGAGTATACTGAGAACATTTGCCTCAGAACTCCTTCCATGAATAGAGATGGACACAAACCTCAGTTTGGAGGTTTGTGCCAGTTCGTACATGCACCACTACAGGTCATAAACGTATGGTGCCACGCATTTCCTTTCCCCACCTCCCCAGCCAATGACCCACTCACCAGTCAGTGTGTACTCCTCTCCTCCTCCTCGGCTGTTCGGCCAGTCCCTGGCAGGAGTATGGGTTTGCCTGTCCTGCCTCCTTATCTGAATGGGCAATCAACCAAGGAGGTGGGGCAGGGAAGCTCGTGTTTCTGCCAGAAACTGGTCAAACTGCTAAAGAGGATATGAGTGTGCACCAGCTGGTAAGTAGGGAACTGAGGTTCGTGCCCATCTCTAACCATTAATAGAAAATTGGATCCATAAATGATGTACTAGAAACTCAAAGCAACTGAACATTGAGCCAGTCAGGCAGAAATGATGGTGCAAAGTCATTGAGGGATCTACTTAATCTGACAGGATAGTAGGACTCACAACATTTCCTGCATCAGGAGGAAAAGGTCTGACATCAGGATCAAGGCACAATGGAAGGGTAGGTCTCTCGACAGCAGGCAATCAAGAAGTCAGAAGCTTCTTGTTCTGTTCATGTCTGTTATACTAGAGGCCAGAATGAGAACATGTAAGGAAAAGTTTTGCTGTGAATTTTCCCAGTCCTCAAGAAGGCAAAGATGCTACTAAAAGTTGTTCTCATGACAGAGCCTTTACAGTGCTTTTCTATTTCCAATTGTAAATATAGAAAAGAATCTCAACTCCCAAAAGGAAATCTATAGTGGAACACAAGAAAGGTTCTGAACTCAGCACTAAGCAGATGCTGCCTCCAAGGAGATGAGAGTACAAGCAGGAAATTATGGTGCCCCTGATCATAATGTGAAAGGAACAGTATGTTGACTATGTGTGCAGGTCACTTTTCACCCAGTTTCATCTGTTCTATATGGAAGAAAGGGTATATCCACTGTAAAAATTAAGCTTGAAGTAGATCATGAAGTTAGCTTGTAACCCTGTCTTTGAGACATTTCTTAAGACAGAGGAAACTGCATTTAGATCAGAGCCAACAGATGGCAAAGTTGTATCAAGACTGAAACTGAAATCATTGAATGATTAGTTCGTGTACTTCTTATCTGAAACCACAGGTGTGGGTAGGGCAGGGAAATTCCAGTTTTTCATGTCCAGCTCTTTTGCAAATGGTATATAAGTAGATAACACAACAGTATCCCAAATTTTGTTGTTGTCAGGCTGCAGGTTTGGGACGAATGAGACCAAACACACTTGTTATGGGATTTAAGAAAGACTGGCAGTCAGCTGATATGAATGAGGTCGACACTTACATCAACCTATTACAGTGAGTAGAAAGATAAACCTCTACAATAATTATGCAGTTCTGTTAAATATGTCTGTTCATTAATTCTCAGGAAGAAAAATATAGAGTGCAATACTTAACTGCAGTTGATTCTATGTTTTCAACATAAAACTAATATACTTGCATTATAAACATAGCTCCATGTTGTGAGCTCCGTAGTTTACTAAAAATTGCCAAATTGATTTTCAGAATGAATGAGTTTTATTTAAAAGCATATGTTGTTGTCATTTAGTCGTTAAGTCGTATCCGACTCTTCATGACCCCATGGACAAGAGCACACCAGGCCCTCCTGTCTTCCACTCCCTCCCGGAGTTGGGTCAAATTCATGTTGGTAGCTTAGATGACACTGTCCATCCATCTCGTCCTCTGTCATCCCCTTCTCCTCTGACCTTCACACTTTCCTAACATCAGAGTCTTTTCCAGGGAGTCTTCTCAATGGCCAAAGTATTGGAGCCTCAGCTTCAGGATCTCTCCTTCCAGTGAGCACTCAGGGTTGATTTCCTTCAGAATTGATAGATTTGTTCTCCTTGCAGTCTAGGAGACTTCTTTATGGTCTCTCACTTCCATACATTGCTACTTGAAAAACCATAGCTTTGATTATGCGGACCTTTGTCGGCAAGGTGATGTCTCTGCTTTTTAAGATGCTGTCTAGGTTTCTCATCGCTTTCCTCCCAAGAAGCAAGCATCTTTTACAGTGGGGTCTCGACTTATGAATGGTTCTACATATGAACTTTATGACTTACGAACCCACCCGATAGGAAATTACATACTCAACATACGAACTTCCCTCGCGTTACGAACAGGAAAAAAGTGCCCCCTCCCTCCCCTTAGAGGCTTCTGGAGGGGAAAAAAAGGTCAGAAACTTAAAAATAAATAAAAGAAAGTCACTTACCAGGCCTTGGTAGCCCCCGAACTGCAGGAAAAAGAGCAGCAAACAGATAAAAGCCGACACCCAGAGGGGAGCCTGGCAGCCATTTTGTGCTTTTCTCCTGCCCCCTCCTCTCCCCGCCTAACAGCTGATTGACTGGCTCTGAAGAGGCTTGGAGAGGCTTGCTCAGCACCTAAAAAGCCTGCCTGTGTGTCTTTGTGCTGAAAAAATCAGCACAACATGCTTTAAAAAATGCTTAAAAATTGGCTTCATTGAAAAAAAATTTTCAAAAGTGCTTTTAAAACTATTCCCTGTTTTTTTTCAAAAGTGCTTTTAAAACTATGCCCTGCCTCCCCCCTCCTTTCCTGACCTAAGAAAAAATAAAAAAATATCCCCCTCTAGTGGCAGAATTGATGCCTTTGAATTGTGGTGCTGGAGGAGGCTCTTGAGAGTCCCCTGGACTGCAAGGAGAACAAACTTATCCATTCTAAAGGAAATCAACCCTGAGTGCTCACTGGAAGGACAGATCCTGAAGCTGAGGGTCCAGTACTTTGGCCATCTGATGAGAAGAGACGACTCCTTGGAAAAGACCTTGATGTTAGGAAAGTGTGACGGCAAGAGGAGAAGGGGACGACCGAGGATGAGATGGCTGGACAGTGTCTGCGAAGCAACCAACATGAAATTGACACAACTCCGGGAGGCAGTGGAAGATAGGAGGGCCTGGCGTGCTCTGGTCCATGTGGGGTCACGAAGAGTCGGACACGACTAAACGACTAAACAACAACGACTAGTGGCAGAAGGCGGAATAGCAGCTTCCCATTAGTTTCCCATTAGTTTCTATGGCTGGAAAAGAGCAGATACGGATTAAATGGTTTTCAATGCATTCCTATGGGAAATGCAGATTCGACATACGAACTTTTCGACCTACGAACCGCCTTCCAATACGGATTAAGCTCGTACGTCGAGAGCCATTTCGTGGCTGCTGTCACCATCTGCAGTGATCATGGAACCCAAGAAAGTAAAATCTGTCACTGCCTCCATATCTTCCCCTTCTATTTGCCAGGACGTGATGGGATCAGTGGCTATGATCTTAGTTCTTTTGATGTTGAGCTTCAGGCCATTTTTGGGCTCTCCTCTTTCACCCTCATTAAGAGGTTCTTTAATTCCTCCTCACTTTCTGCCATCAGAGT